TCTGCAGATTCATCCAATCATGGATGAAAAATATTTGGAAGAAAACAAAAACAATACAAAAACAACAACAACAAAAAAATGCAGTATAACTATATACATAGTATTAGGTATTATAAGTGATCTAGATATGATTTAGAGTATAAGAAGACTGAGAATAAGTGGACTAACAGGTAGAAAGAAAACCATGGTAGGCCAATTGAACAAAGCAAGTAAAGAAAGCCTTTGAAGAAGGAAAATGGATCAGAATAATTCTGGTGAAAAAGCGAGTTTGGAATTCTACTTGTAATGAATGTAAAATAGCATGGGAAAGGAAGAAATGGGGTAGTAGCCTGTGGAGAAAAGGAAAAGAGGTTTTGTTTAAAAGATTAGAGAAATAGAATGCTAGGAGGAATAATTTAGAGGAAAAATTTAAAATACTGGGGGAAAAAAACCGCATTATTGCTGAATCCTTGAGAATGGATGAGATATGTGAAACTGGCTTTAGCAAGGACAAAGGACAGTTTATCCTTAGAAACAGTAGAGGTGGTAGAGTAAATAAGAACAGAAACATGCAGGTGGATAGTGGATGTGGTGATGGGAGACTGAAATTTCTCTTTGGATTGTCTCTATTTATCTAGTGACATAGTTAAGGCCATCAGATGGTAGAAAAGGCATTGCCTCCAGATAGAGTAGCTAGAAAATTAAATTTTCAAGGGTTGGGGTTTGGCCAACCAAGTGTGACAGGGTAACAACAGGACGAGCTTTATATGCAAAGCAATAATTATAATGACTGACCACAGAATTTAAGCCCAGAAAGATGAAAGTGAGGATACAGGGGTAGGGATGAAAGTGAAAGGCAGGTAAGATTGGTTTTCAGTGCTGACATATTGAGCTTTAGTACACAAGAGAGTAAGCTAGAATGGTAAGGAGGTAGAGGTTGAATACTAGGATATATAGAGAAACAGTACGTATAATGGTTAGAACTTGGATGCTGGAAACAATACTGTTTGGGGTAACATTCTGGTTTGAGCAATTGCAGCTATAAATCAATGGGCAAATTATTTACCTTTATGTCTCAATTTACTCAACTATGAAAGTGAATAATGAGTACCTACCTCTTAGAATGTTTGCTATTATTAATACTACGTAATGGTTACAGTTACTGTAAGTGAATGGCTAACTTAGGGTGGAGGACAAAAATCACTGGGAAATACATCAAAGAACTGAAAGACCACATTATCGGAAGGATAATCTGTGTGGATACTGAAATCACGAAGAAATAAGACAGGTCTTGAATATTGCTAAAATTTCGTATTCAGCCCATGGTAGGATTATTATATTGTTGCACGTTAGTGATAAACACAAATTACCTAAATTTGGTCATTTGTTATTGTTTTTAAAACTACTTAAGTTTAATGTAGAATATGTTTTTTGCTAAATTTAAAATTTTACCCAAATGGTCATTTCAAAATTTTTTCTTTTATGTTTGTAGAATATATTTCAACAACAGCAACAAAAGGTTTCTCAACAATCTAGACGTGTTCAGAGTGAGACACTGAAACAGTTAGCAGTTCATAAAGTCTATTGTACAGTATGTGGCAACAATGCATTGTTATAAAGCATAATGTATTTATGGAAGTAGAAGGTGGTTCTTTCTAAGTTTATGGGAAAAAACATTTCAGACTTTCAGCTACTTTCCATTTTGAATTCATTGTTTCTGATTTAACTTAAGTGATAAGTGGATTTTTACTTTAGGATTCTAATGGTTTTGTTAGGATTATTCCAAATAAAAAAATGGTAAATTGGGAATTTTATTTAGAAATGTACTTATCACGCATATAATCTGTATGTTATTAACACTTTAGTCATAGTTCTCTGTTTAACTAGAAAGTCTGTAAATCATTTCTAGGTTGTGTATCTCTTGTTTACGTATCCCCAGTGTTTGTTAAATAATAAAAAGCACCCAAATGGGAGGGTGTCTCTGGCATGTCAGTCCAGAGGCATGAGGGCCACAGTGGTTGCCAGTGTGGAACCAGGCAAGGGAGCAAGCCCAGAGTGTTCAGCCATGGCTGAGCTGCACACCAACACCATGATAGCCACCCACACCGATATACCATATGGTGTGGCCTGTGCAGCAAGCTGCTCAGTGGCCCTGTGTACTGTGTACTGCCTCAAGCGCTGCAGGAAGGCCAAGCCAGTGACTGTATGAGAGTACCCCAGGAGCTCCTGAAAGACCTATTGCCAGGACGAGTACCCCTGAATGTTCAGGGGAGGTCAGCAAGGACCTAAACCCCTTTACTCCTCTTATAAGACATCCAGATTCCTAATTATGCCTTTATGCAAAACTTGGCCAACATGTATGACGGTCCTCTTGCTCTCACTATTGCCAACCTCAGCTCCCAGGACAGTTCTCTGAATGTCAAGGAGTTGTAAGACCTCTGATCTCACTTGTTCTTGGTCATTGATGGGGGAGACAAACTGGGGATGGCCAGAGCCCTGAGTGTTACCTCGGCTCAACTATGGTTGACTTACCTGTGCATAGAAAGTTTGGCATCATTCGTCCAGGCTGTGCCCTGGAAAGTACTACAGCCTTCCTTCAACAGAGGTATGGGCTGCTCCCCTAACATGCATCCTACTTGTGAAACTCAGGAAGCAGGAAGGCCCATGGTCTGGTGCTGAATACTATGTGTTGGTCCACTGATAACTGCCAAGCCCTCATTTGCAGAAGCCACTGGAGCTACAGCACTAATGTGTCTTTCTGAACACTGTAGACCAAGCCCCAGAAGCTGCATCTGGGGGAAAGGCAAGATTTATTATTTGTAGTCTCATATATCAGCCAAAGGCTGAATGGAGATGTTAATTAACATTCCTAGGTGGCCTTATTCTAATGAGTTTCTCCTTTTTTCTTTCTTTTTTAATTTAAATAGCAGATTTAGAATCTAATGAGAGCCTCCTGTCTGCTGGGTGGTGGCATTTAAAATAGTTCAGACCAGCTAAAAGTGCCAATGCTGTTTGAAAAGTCTCAGCTGACCAAAGGCATCGACTGGGCTCCTGAAACTGGAAAACCAGGTAGAGCCATGGAGCCACTCTCTCCTCTGGGCCAGCAGGGCTAATGGTGTCAAAACTGCTGGCGGGGAGAGCAGTCATTTTGGTCTACTACTGGGATGTCTGCTCAGTTGATGGGGGTTGTCCAAATTAAAGAAGACTGGGAAGTAAATCTCCTTATCCTCTTCAGCCAGGAACTTTTTTTCTTATTTATACATAAATTAAATTGTAGTTAGTTATGCCTGTAACACTTTTATCTAAATCCAGTGTTCTCAGTAGCCTTTTGATTGTTTAATGTGGACTAAGTGTTAAACATAATTACTGTTGGGCATTTGAACTTTGTTTTCCTTTAGTATAAAGAAATACAGCTGTAAAAAAAAAAAGTACCCAAATGATAAAAAATAAAAATAAAATGATGTTTTACATGTAAGTATCCTCAAATTCTTTTTGAAAACAGGCAAAGAATAAACAATATTCATTACAATTAATGCTGTGTAGGAGCTGTGAATATAACAAATTACAAAAGCTAAATTCAACACATTAGTAAGGCATAATTTTAAGTATGTTGTTCAGTACAAAGTATAATTATGCATAGATTGATAGTATTTAAACTGGGAAGCACAAATCAGATCCTACACGCATACACTTTACTGTAAGAGACTAAAAAATACTGTTATATTGTAACCCTCTATTTAACCCTTTTCCTATTTAGAAAAAACAAGTGCAGCTCAGTGCCAATGTTCATTTAATTTTACAAAAATACACTCTTTGAGGCTGAAGCAAATCTGACTGATTACAAAATATAAAAAGTGTTCTTTGAGTTATTTCTAAACAGAGGTAACATCAGAATCACCTGAATTATCAGAATCTCTATTTCAGAAAAACTGGATTCATCAAATGAATCTTCAGCCATTAAGTTCAAGAACAAGGTTAACATCATAGGTAGAAATGCTACATTTTCTAGGATTTGATATTTTCAGTGACAGAATGTTACTATATTTTGTAACTAGAAATATCACTGTTAAAAACAGAATGCTGGTCGAGTGCAGTGGCTCATGCCTGTAATTATAGCACTTTGGGAGGCCACGGCAGGCAGATCACTTGAGGTCAGTGGTTTGAGACCAGCCTGGCCAACATGGTGAAACCCCGTTTACTAAAAATACAAAATTAGCTGAGCGTAGTGATGGACACCTGAAATCCCAGCTACTCAGAAGGCTGAGGCAGGAGAATCACCTGAACCTAGGAGGTGGAAGTTGCTGTGAGCCAAGATCATATCACTGCACTCCAGCCTAGGCAAGAGACCGAGACTCCATCTCAAAAAAAAATTTATTTAAAAGAATGAGGAAAAAGAATGCTATCAGTAAAATGATGTCTTTTGTTTCCAAAGTCAATATACTAAAGCAATGCAAAAATACTAATAAAAGCAATACGTTTTGTGGCAAAGTTATCTTGGAGTAATGCTGCAGCCACAAGCACCACTGGTGAGTATTCTCAGCACAAACAGAAAAACAGTTAAAAGCAGTTTTGATATATATCATATTAAAATTGACATAATGAATTAAGGCTAATTAAATCAAGTGGTTGAGTTATCACAAAGTCATGGCCAGTTTGTCAGCTTGGCTTCCTTCATCCTCAGATACCTAAAAAGAAGACAGTAGCAATTGCCCACTTTACTCTGTTGATAAGCAGAGCAGTTAAAAGTTACATAATAATTAAACCCTTTATAACCTGTTGTGTACACAATAAAAAAAAAATAAAGTTAGGCCTATAGAGTATTCACACTGCTTTTGCCAGTATTCTATGCCTTATGTATTTGTACTGTATTTTACAGTGACTTTGGTAATAACCCTGCTAAAAATTTAGATTTCAGTCTCCAGAACAAATAGTATGTTTCCCAAAGTCCCACTAAAACTTCAGAGTTAAACTACCAAGGATCTTGGCTTTGGTTCATTTCAAACCTAAAAAGTTTTTCTTACCTTTACACCTTGAATGAGACCATTCATGAGGAATGTATGTTGAAGAAATGTTTCATGTAGAACCTACAAAAAGCAAACAAACATCAAGACAAATTCAAATTTAAGTTAAAGGGAATATTTTCTGCCTCTCTTAACGGCATGCTACATAAATGAGCCCTACAATGAAAAATTATTAAATATCAATGAAATAAAAAATAAATAAATAAATAAATTGTGGTACATCCAGACTATCACTAAAAAATGAGCTACCAAGACATTAAAAAACATTGAGGAAACTTAAATGCACACAGCTAAGTGAAACAAGCCAATCTGGAAAGGCTACATATTATATTGTATAATTACAAGTATACGACATTCTGAAAAAAGTAAAACTATGGAAACAATAAGAAGATCAGTGGTAGCCAGGGATTGTGAAGGAGGGAGGGATGAATAGACAGAGCACAGGGGATTTTTAGGGCAATGAAAACGCTTTGTATGATACCATGATGATGGATATATGCATTATACATATATCAAAACTCAGACTATAGAATACCAAGAATGAACTCTAAACTATACAGTTTGGGTGATAACAATATGTCAACATAAGTTCATCAAATAAAACAAATGTACCCCTCTAGAAAGGAATGTCCATAGTAAAAGAGGCTATGCATACATAGGGGAAAGGGATAGGGAAATCTTTATACTTTCTTCTCAATTTTGCTGTAAACCTTAAATGACTCTCTAAAAAAATTAAGCCTTTAAAAAAAGGAAATTATAATCCACTCAGAAATTATTTCCAATCTTTCCTCTAACAACATTATTTTTAAGGTTTAGAAAAAGTTTGTCATCTCAGCTACTGACATTTGAACTCTACTTGCCTCTACTGAAGAAAAGGAAAGGCAAATGAAGGACACCAAATATTTCAAGTGAAATATCAAAGTTCTCAGAAAAATCTTCCAAAAATAATAAAGTCACAGATACAGAAATTGTCTTGAAAAAATATAAAGATTAGAACTCGAGTAACTTGATTTGTCAAACGCATCACAAAAATATAACAAAATACAAAACAAAAAAGCATATTTTAAAAAAATGCTTATCTTATCATGTCAATTATTAATCCATTGTCTCTCAGCCCCACATTCTCCCTTCTGTACTCTGTCAGATCAGAGCTAAGAGACTATGGACATTTCTCTGACTCCCTTTGCCCACAGGCTTCCTCCTACTTTCTGTCAGTGGGAAGAGGGTGGAGTGAGTGCTGGTGAACACCACACCAACAACGCCAGGGTTCCCTCATGCTGTCAAAGGAGCAGCAGTGCTGGTCCTTCCCTGCCCCCACCTCAAATCTCACCCTCTTGACCTCAGACCACCCCTTCAACAATTCTACATGGAAAATGATCCAAACTTGCATTCCCTTTGTACAGGTGATGCAGTTTAGGAATAAGAGACCATCACTTTAATTTGGCAAAACCATATCCATGGATGAATGACAGTATGGGCCCATTCTGAGCAATCAAGCCACCATGCAGGCAATTCCTCTAAAAATTTTCAATCCATGTTTTTAAAGACCTTTCTACTGTTTCCTACCCACCCTCCTCACAAAAAGGAAACAGTGAAATCCTACTAGAGAAAAAAGTAAAACAAGTCAGTAATTTTTTTAAAAAGGCTAACCTTCATAAAATAAAGCAGTTGTAAACAAAACAGCAATATTCTACTCAGACTTTTGATAAACTATAAAAACAAAGTATGTAAATAATATAGCTACAAAAGGCAACAACTGTTATCAGAATAAAGTAAACCTAGTAATAAAAGGTATATTATATAACTCAGCTAAGATCAAAGCTTTCATTTTTAACATCTCTATATTAAAAAGAAAACTCAAGCTTAGCCAGGCACAGTGGCGTGCACCTGTAGTCCTAGCTACTGAGGAAGCTGAAGTGGGAGGACTGGCTTGAGTCTGGAAGGTCAAGTATGCAATGAGCTATGATTGAGCCACTGCACTCCAGCCTGGGTAAACAGAACAAGACCTTATATCAAAATAATAAAATAAATAAATAAATAACACTCAAGGAAAATATCCCCTTTAAATATTCTTGAGAAGGATTACACTAAACATAAAATAAAATGGCA